AGCACGTTGCTACCAATTGCAACCATTGCCTGATACCATTTCTCAGGAGAAGAGTCCATGCCCGGTACAATCGCTTATCGGAAGGGAGACAATTCCCAATGTAACTCCTTTACGTTCGACACTAAGCTAATACACTCATTATAAAATGAGTAACCTATTGAGATAAAAATTTTGTTTGATAGAACCATTAGACTCTGACAAACGACTAAAATGGGCTGAACATCAACTCACACATGAATATGGGCATAGCCAATCTATTTTGGAGAAATGTTATCAATTTCAATTGAACCAAAAAAAAAACGATTGAATACACTCATCCAAGTTTAAGCGTAAGTATTTGACTATAATGGATTATTATGAGCTTTTTTGACAACTATAATTGATTAGAATTACAAAAATTTGGTGTTTAAAGGGTTTATAACCGATTATAAACGTGATATTTTCCAAGAGATTATAATCTGTTACAATTGATTATAATTGATTATAATTCATACAAAAAACTCTTTAAATCAGTTATAATCAATCAAAATCTCTTATTTTGTTAAAATTTTGTCATACCAAAAGCATATTTTAATTGTATCCCGGGGGTTATTATGTTTCTAACAATAACAAAAATCTCTAAAAGCGAGATGTTTTGTCACATTTTGGTTCATCTGAACACAAAGTTTTCCCACGAAACTAAAGTTTCATAGAGATCCTTTCATTTTAGTTGAAAGTTTTGCGCGGTAGGTGAAAATAAAAATTTCCGATTAAACAATGAAACTAAAGCAAAATGCTGATAAACTGGTGGTTAAAATGTGCATCATGAAACAACTTCAATGGAGAAATGAAAACTTAAAAACATTATAATTTTGAATTGATTTAAAAGCATTTGAAACAATTTCATCATTTTTCACATAGCCAACGTCTACGAAAAGCATAAATTATGAGCAACTCAGACGCAAGGTCGAAGACAAAATTGGCAAAAAAAGGGATTATAATAAATTATAATGGAGTTTTTGTGCACAACTTATGAACTAGAAATAAACGGTTAATAATTGATTATAATCGATTGAAAAATTTTTAAAAGATTAAAGTTTTATTTCAGAGGAGAGATTACAATCGATTCTGAATTGATTAAAATCGATATTTTCTGAACTTCAGTATGACTGGTACTAAAATCATGATTTAATTGATTAAAAACGCTTGAAATTGGTTGCTGTTAGTTTTAGATCATTATCAAAGAAATAGGGCATGGCCTAAATTTCTTGGAACTTCAAGAAAATTTTGCTTGACACGTTTAAGGTATCTCAATTTGGAAATAAAATTAATCAGTAGTTGGATTTTTTTTTTCAGCTGAAAGTTCTAATACTTAAAACTCATTTTTATACAGAGGCGAAGCAGCACTTCGCAAACGAAAACAAATCAAAAACAGGCGAGCAAAACCAAATCCTGAGCTGAGCAAAGACAGCCGGTTGCTGTGCAAGTAGCACAGAATCTTCCGACCAAATTCATAAAAACTACAAATCAACTCTTCAAATTATTGATTTCTTCAAGTTAGTGTCTTTTTGTACGCGGTGTGATGAGAAAACTACACACACGCGTTTTAAGTTAGTAATTAAGCAGAATTGACAAAAGTCGAAAAAAAGAAAGAAAAATTGAAAAAAAAAGCTTTTATTGCCAGGTAAGTGGTGAATAATGCTGTTAAAACTAGTTTCCGTTTGGAGAAATTTAGTTTTTTCAGCCTTAAAGAACAATTCAAAAACTTATCATCAGTATATTTAATCGAAATTAGACGAAAAACTAACAATTTCAAACAGGTTTTTCACGACACAGGGAACTTTTTCGGAAGTTTTACTTGATCGTTCGAATAACGACTGAAAGTGCTTCAATATGATAAATCACTCAACCTAGTCCAATGATTATTTGCGTTACCTGATTTTGCGTGGTAAAAGAGTTAACTACAACCCTATACAAAGTTCCTCCCCATTTTCAATGGTCGGTAGAAAAAGCCGAACACAATCAAGGTGCATATAGCGTTATTCAAACCTCGCCGCTCAAAACCACAAGAAGTTGACAACTTTGGCATCTTGCTGTAGCTAGCCATTTTTGGCATCTTGCTATAACTATCCCAATAACTACCCGTTATTTGACAGGACGAAATACAAATCTTGACAAAAAAAAGCGAAGCTTAGCTTCGCAAACATTATCGAGAACACTACAAAAAGCAGTCCTACAAAATGCAATAAAAATTGGAAAGGCTCGAATTAAAAAAAAAAATCAACTACATGTTGGATTCGACCCTGCAACCCAGATATTAGGAGTCTCACATACTAACCACTCAGCCGAGAACGCTTAATTCATTACAAACACTAGCCACAGATATAGCAGAGAACAGATGCTATAAGATTTCCAATGCTACAGATTGTGATAAAAGCTAACTTGAAATTACAAATTAATGAATTACTTTATTTGAGAGTAAGGTTAGAAAACAAAGGTTTTCACTAACACACGAATTCCTGCAAGCTCGCTTAAGTGAGAAGAAATTACCTTAAAATAGCAAAAGTTAGTTGCACTACGATTCGCGACTTGAAACAGGAAGTTCAAAACAGTAATTTAGCAATATATCAAGCGTTTGCTAGTATAAAAACTTGGAGTCACTCTAATATATTTCCGTCATTTGCTTGTTTGCTATCGAAGAGCGCAGTTCCCTTCACATTTGGGTTGATTAGCTTTCAAGTGGGCTTGAAAATTATTCGAAATTGAAACCTCGAAAAAAATGAAACAGGGGCTAAGCACATTTTAGAAAAGCCGTTTAACAAAAACAAAACTGACAGCCATTAAGCAGTAAATCAACATAGAGGTACTGCTGAAATATTGGCCAACACGAGTGTTTCATATGTAGCTAATGAATGACCTAAATCGGAAAATAAAACGACTTTGTCAATTTGTCTAGAAATTGTATCAACTTGTCTAGAAAAAAATCATTTCAAACAAAATTAACATGCAAAATGATACAACTTGTTACAATTGAATAGGAAAAAATATGTAGCGGTAAAAATCCAACAATGCTAATTGCGAAAATCATAATAGACTATGTTTCAATTCCGTGGTCATTAATCGACAATTATAAAATTTTTGATGAATTTTGAAAAAAAATTGAGAAATTTGCATTAAAATTGTTTTTAAAAAATGCAACAAATACTTATATTTCGAAACAGTTTCAATTCAATTACTTCCACTTAAGTCCTTCAGAAAATTAGAAGAAGACTGAACCTTTAAAAAGTGTCCGTGCAACGCAAACTAAGCCAAAAAGAAAGAGGCGGACGATTGCGGACAAAATAAAGAGTCAAATAAGTTTTTGATTTTCTGCTTGGGATAGCATTATGAGACATTGTTCAGCTAAAACTTTTGATGACTGCAGCTGACTAAATACAAACAGCGGCTGAGTGCGAATTAAAGTGAAAGAATTACAAAATAAACTGAAGCAAAAAAAAACGTTTTGAAGTCAATAGCTTCAGATAAATTATAAGACTCAATACTGAATATTTCAAATCACAACGCAAAACTTGAAACTTTGAATTTTTTTGTTTAAATTTTTATGTCATTCACAAAGTCCAAGAGGCTGATTAAAATTTTCCACATTTCATTCAAAGAATTCAATCACTCATATAATCCCAAGGAGAGTTATTCATAAAAAAACATTAGGAAAATAGGCCGAGAGTTGAAGCCGACCGATGTCAGTCCCGAAAATGTACCAAAAAAGTGGTACATTTTCAGCACTGGGAACGTTTGGCTTCAACTCTTTGTCTTATTTTTTTAATGCTTTTCTCGAATTTGGAATCCTACAAAAAATCATTTGCAACTCTCAACGATACACAACTAAATGCCGCGTCGTAACTGGATAGATCTAATACAGTCACCACAAGCAACAATGCACTTGCACCTTTTACGATTTGACCATTTCGTCCCTAAAGTTATTCACGGGAAAAATTCTAGTACCTGATTGCAATACCCTTGCTTATCGCAAGGGTAATTGTAAAATCTTAAAAACTCAAAAAGTTGTCAAGTCTCCCTCAAAACACTTAGATATTTATTGCTCCTCAATCGACTCAACAAGAGGTCTCTAAGCCGATATATATTATCAGTCAAACCCTTTAAAACCGAATGAAAAAAAGAAATAGAAAACAGGAACAAAAAAACTGATAGTGAAATATTGTTAAATTACAACCAACATGGAACAAAAATCGAATAGAACGGACATTCAACATGCAGACAAGGACAAGCTCAAAAACTGCCTGTTCTCAGTCTGTCTGTCCGCTGGGTGACCAAAGCAGATATGGATATGACCACAATTACATTCATTCTGTCAACTAAGCTATTTTCGAGAAAGAAAAGCACCCGATTGCAATACCGTTGCTTATCGCAAGGGTAAAAAACAACTCGAACTATTTAAGTGTCTTCACTTCGCTCATTGATATATAGATAATAATTAAGAGTCTAAACTATCAGCAAAGTTCAACAGCAGAGGCAAATTTCATTTGTACAAAGAAAACGCCCGGAACAGAAGCCAATGGAGAGCACTTATTCGAGACCTGAATGTGGCGGGCAGCAATGCTCGTGAAAGCCCTAACTGGACCTAGAAACTAGACGATCTTCTCGATATACTAAATTCGTCTATAATTTAAGCATCAGAAAACTCTTTGTAAAATATTTACAATCCAAATATCACATATTTGCACTATACAATTTTAATTATCTATCGTGTTCTACTGCAGATTTCGTTACGTACATTTGATCGACAGAATTCGTCCTACGGCAAATTTTGTTTTATTCCGTTTTTTTTCTGTGCCATAGCGGTATGGGGTGCATCAACCTTACGTGTGTATAACCACCAGGAGTATTTTAATCTGTATTTGTCTGCGTATTGTCCAGCTTGCATCACGTATCAGCCCATTAGTTGAAAAAATCTTACGAGCTAATCGAGAAGAGAATCGGTAATAAATTTAATAAACGGAATAAATTAACGGAAGAAAAGGACAAATGTGTCAATTTTTCAGTAAGACGAATTCTGTTAGCCACATACAACTTAGTTTTTACTAGAATAGTCACATCATATCACTCCATCTTGAGTGAATTTGATGTTTGAGAAGGTGTCTTTTCTGGGTGGCTTCGGAGGCTGCATGCTCTGGATGACACTTCTGGCATAGTCCGTGTGCAGCAGACCCGCCTGCCGCAATGCATTCTCCACCTGCACTCGGTTGTCTTTCTTCAGTTGTTTATCTGAAGTGAAACAGTACATTTTAAATGAACTTATGCGGGGAGTCTTGGTTCGTGAGGCAGAGGGCGTGCAATCCTGAGGTTGTGGTGGGGGGGGGGGGGGGGGGTTAGGGTAAGAGGGTGCTTTTTCTCCTAAATCCACCCCTGTATAACTGTAATTTCAGCTAATAAACGTTTGCTAATTAAATGATCGAAAATTCGGAAAAACGTTGATATTTGCGATAAATTGAAATTAGGCAACAGACAGACCGTTAGAGAAGTGTCAATGAAAATTGAACAAGACCGAAAAAAATATGGAGTATTTGAAAAACAAACTCCAGTTCGCTTCAAAGAAAAAACTATCGCCTGTAAAAATCGTTTGATGAAGTTAACTCAATTTGAAAAAACAGGATCAATAGGTAAAATTTTTATTCCGCTAGGTTAAAATTTTGTTTGAAGCTTCAAGTCATTCTGTTTTGTTTTGAGCCATTTGAACTAAGGCTACTCACAGCTGTCTGTTTTCAATGATGCATTATCGACTAAGACAACGTACTATAAAAAAAATGGGGGCGGTTTTTGGCAAACAGATCTTTTCATGTTTTCGGAAAGCTCGGAACTTATTTGCTAGACCAACAAAATACGCTGCAAAATGTTCGATTCTGGACGTACTACTGTTCGAAATGTTTGAATTTGTGGACTTACTGTTGAAAGTGTTAACTGAAAACAACTGGGCATTTAGCGGTTCGTATGCAGTCTCCGAGTGGGCGCCGCCATTGAGATGAGCGAATCTGGCATCGGAAGCCACAGTGGGTTGGACAGTCCTCTCTGGGTCTCGCTGAGCCTCCACCCTCACTTGACTCCTCAACTCCTCCAACTTCCTCTCCACTCTCTCCTTCTCCTCTTCTCTCCTCTTGTTCTGAGCAGCCATCCGTTCCAGCTTCTTTTCTCGCTCTTTCTTCCGATACTCGATTCTGAAAGCAGCAAACTCAATTGTAGTTGTTCAAATACTTTTCAATGCGCGCAGCATTTTATACACTAACTTGAATAATTCATGAACCAAACTTCTAACTAAGCTCCTTATAATCGTTTCATTATTGATCATGTTAAAAAATATTGGAAAAAAAAAAGATAATATTTCAAAGCTAATTGTGTTCGAAATCAATTTTTAATATTTGATCGCAGAAACGGAAAATGCACCAATTAACTCATTAGCTTACTATGTTTTTTAATCAATTTTTAAGAGGGGGGATCCGTTAGAGGGTAGGATGGAGTGCAAATGGAGAACAAAGCGATCTCATTTGCATCTATGTGGGTGATTTATAAACAGCACATGTTTCTTTGCTTTTCTTTTTTGGCTTGCTACTTTCTACTTGCTGCTTCCTCTCACCTCTCCTGGTCTAATGCAGCTTGATTGGCCAGTTGTTCTTGGATCTCCCTCAACTTCATCACTTTCATCCTCTCCGCTTCCTCACTCATCAACTTCTTCGCATTTCTGAAACAACTCAGAGTCAACCAGCCAATTAAAAAAAAGGAAAACTATAATTGAATTTTGAACACTTAAATATTGGCGCTGTCAATCTCCTGGAAAAATTGACGAAAACGAACTGCAGGACCTTGGTTGAATTGAAATTACCTGAAGTGTTGGATCTCGTGCTTCTGTTGCATCCTAGTGGACTTTTCTCTCTTCAGTTTCTCATCTGTCTTCAGCCTCTCTCGTTGTGCCTGAAGAGCGGCTAGTTCATCTTCAAGTCTCGCTTCTTCCGCTTTCGCCTCTTTCCACGCATTCACCTAAACAACTATTGACTCAATATTCTCTATTTATGAACCCCGATTGGCTTCAATTCCAAATCGCTTAATTAATACTCCACAACAAACACTTGGTCAACGAATGGCAAGAAATGAACCACCATTTTGTCTTGAACACATCCGATAGAAACTAAATTTGATTGATGATAAACCGTTAGTTTAAATTGATTAATTATACCTTGTCCATTAGGTGTCTGCAGTATTTCATCTGGGCTTCCTTCTCCAAATTGAGCTTCTGCATTTCATCACTCTTGTGGGATGCCTCGGTTAGCAAAGCTGTGACCTTGAGAACTAGTTGCTGCTTTGTCTGCTGCCATGTCTTCAGTATGCCACACTTTTTCCATATGTATGCTTTTTTTTCGCGACACCATCTGTCGTGAGCTAACTAAAAAGATACACAATTCACATCAAACAAATCCTTTACGAACACTTGAATAACTATTTCTAAGTTAACAAAATTAACATTCGCGGCACAAAAATTGAATGAAGCTGGTTAAAAAATAAGGAGACGGTCACCGCTTAGCAGAATTATCGAAAGATAAGCATTCACTGCAAAAGCAAAAAAAAATCTTAATCGACAAAGTGATGAAACTTTAGTATCACTTAACCACTGGTGCAAAAGAGTTGCATACCCAAAATCCTTCAGCAGATTTACCCAAAATCTAATCAGAGACATGACTTAACTATTCACTGCAACAGTATAAAAACATTTTACTTAATCGACAGAATGTGAGGAAACTTTAGTATCAATTGATCAATGATACAAATGAGTTGCAGATCCAAAACTCTTTAGCAGATTTAACCAAAATCCAATCAGAGATAGGACTTAACTATTAACTGCATTTTACTTGATCGACAAAAAGTGAGGAAACTTTAATTTCAGTTGATCAAGGATGCAAATGAGTTGCAGATCCAAAACCTTTAGCAGATCTAATCAAAATCCAATCAAAAACAGGACTTAACTATTCACTGCAACAGTATAAAAAAAAACATTTTACTTAATCGACAGAATGTGAGGAAACTTTAGTATCAATTGATCAATGATACAAATGAGTTGCAGATCCAAAACTCTTTAGCAGATTTAACCAAAATCCAATCAAAGATAGGTCTTAACTATTCATTGCAACAGTATAAATTTTTAAGATCAAGGATGAAAAAAAAAGAAAACTGATTGGGTTTTGTTTAGCAGATTTAAACAAAACCCAATCAAAAACAGGACTCAACTATTCACTGCAACAGTATAAAAAAAAACATTTTACTTAATCGACAGAAAGTGAGGAAACTTTAGTATCAATTGATCAATGATGCAAATGAGTTGCAGATCAAGTACCTATTAACCTTTACTTAATCACTGCAACTAAAAAAAGGCTAGTTAAAATTTGTCTGAAAAAAAAACAGAATCAGCGAGCACAAATAATCCGTTTCTTTTGTTACGAAAGTCGGAACAATAAAAGTCTGTCTGAAAATTCTTAGCATTCGCTGTACTTAATAGCTGGTTATTGATCAAAATGAACACTTTCAAATTGAACACACTTAATCGCAAAAATATTTGCGTCGCAACGATATTTGCGACTTAGGTTGGAAAAAAAATAGTTCATATTATAACACAAGCATTGCTTGTGTAAATATCAATTGAGCAATGACGCAAATGAGTTGGATACCCAAAATCTTTAACAGATCCAACCAAAACCCAATCAAAAACAGGACTCAACTAATCACTGCATCAGAAAAAAAATTAACTTAACCGACATAATGCGAGGAAACTTTAGTATCATTTGATCGATAGTGCGAATGAGTTGCATGTCCAAAATACTTTAGATCTAACAGAAACCAATCAAAAACAGGACTTAACTATGCACTGCAACAAAATAATTTTTTTTACTGAATCGACAGAATTTGAGAAAACTTTATTATCAATTGATCAATGATACAAATGAGTTGAAGATCCAAAACTCTTTACCAGATTCACCCAAACTTTAATCAAAGACAGGACTTAACTATTCACTGCAACAGAAAAAACCGTTTTACATGATCGACAGAGTGTGAGGAAACTTAAGTTTCATTTGACCAATGGTGCAAATGAGTTGCATATCCAAAACCTTTTAGCAGATTCAACCAAATCCAATCAGAGACAGGAATTATCTATTCACTACAACAGTATAAAAAGCCATTTTACTTAATCGACAGAATGTGAGAAAACTTTAGGCATCTATTGATCAATGATAAAAAAAGAGTTGCAGATCAAAACATTTCAGCAGATTTAACCAAAATCCAATCAGAGAGGACTTAACTATTCACTGCAGTAAAAAACAAACTGTTTACTTAATCGACAGAGAGTGAGGAAACTTTACTATCATTTGACCAATGGTGCACATGAGTTGCATATCCAAATCCTTCAGCAGTTTTAACCAAATTCCAATCAAAAACAGGACTTAACTATTCACTGCAACAGAAAAAAAATGATTTCACTAAACCGACATAATGTGAGGAAACTGTAGTATCATTTGATCAATGGTGCAAATTAGTTGCATATCCAAAATCCTTTAGCAGATTCAACCAAATCCAATCAGAGATAGGACGTAACTATTAACTGCAACAGAAAAAAAAACATTTTACTCAATCGACAGTGTGAGGAAACTTTAGTATCAATTGAGCAGACAGTGTGAGGAAACTTTAGTATCATTTGACCAATGATGCATTTGACCAATGATGCAGTGTGAGGAATGAGTTGCAAATATAAAATCTTTTAGCAGATTTAAACAAAACTCAGTCAAAAACAGGACTTAAATATTCACTGCAACAGAATAAAAAAAAAACATTTTACTTAATCGACAGAAAGTGAGGAAACTTTAGTATCAATTGATCAATGATGCAAATGAGTTGCAGATCCAGTACCCTTTGGCAGACTCAGCCGAAAACCAATCAGAGACAGGACGTAACTATTAACTGCATTTTACTTGATCGACAAAACGTGAGGAAACTTTAATATCAGTTGATCAAGGATGCAAATGAGTTGCAGATCCAAAACCTTTAGCAGATCTAATCAAAATCCAATCAAAAACAGGACTTAACTATTCACTGCAACAGTATAAAAAAAAACATTTTACTTAATCGACAGAATGTGAGGAAACTTTAGTATCAATTGAGCAATGGTGCACATGAGTTGGATATCCAAATCCTTCAGCAGATTTAACAGAATTCCAATCAAAAACAGGACTTAACTATTCACTGCAACAGAAAAAAAATGATTTCACTAAACCGACATAATGTGAGAAAACTGTTGTATCATTTGATCAATGGTGCAAATTAGTTGCATATCCAAAATCCTTTAGCAGATTCAACCAAATCCAATCAGAGATAGGACGTAACTATTAACTGCAACAGAAAAAAAACATTTTACTCAATCGACAGTGTGAGGAAACTTTAGTATCAATTGAGCAGACAGTGTGAGGAAACTTTAGTATCATTTGACCAATGATGCATTTGACCAATGATGCAGTGTGAGGAATGAGTTGCAAATCTAAAATCTTTTAGCAGATTTAAACAAAACTCAATCAAAAACAGGACTTAAATATTCACTGCAACAGAATAAAAAAAAAACATTTTACTTAATCGACAGAAAGTGAGGAAACCTTAGTATCAATTGATCAATGATGCAAATGAGTTGCAGATCCAGTACCCTTTGGCAGACTCAGCCGAAAACCAATCAGAGACAGGACGTAACTATTAACTGCATTTTACTTGATCGACAAAATGTGAGGAAACTTTAATATCAGTTGATCAATGATACAAATGAGTTGAAGATCCAAAACTCTTTACCAGATTCACCCAAACTTTAATCAAAGACAGGACTTAACTATTCACTGCAACAGAAAAAACCGTTTTACATGATCGACAGAGTGTGAGGAAACTTAAGTTTAATTTGACCAATGGTGCAAATGAGTTGCATATCCAAAACCTTTTAGCAGATTCAACCAAATCCAATCAGAGACAGAAATTATCTATTCACTACAACAGTATAAAAAGCCATTTTACTTAATCGACAGAATGTGAGAAAACTTTAAGCATCTATTGATCAATGATAAAAAAAGAGTTGCAGATCAAAACATTTCAGCAGATTTAACCAAAATCCAATCAGAGAGGACTTAACTATTCACTGCAGTAAAAAACAAACTGTTTACTTAATCGACAGAGAGTGAGGAAACTTTACTATCATTAGACCAATGGTGCACATGAGTTGCATATCCAAATCCTTCAGCAGTTTTAACCAAATTCCAATCAAAAACAGGACTTAACTATTCACTGCAACAGAAAAAAATTGATTTCACTAAACCGACATAATGTGAGGAAACTGTAGTATCATTTGATCAATGGTGCAAATTAGTTGCATATCCAAAATCCTTTAGCAGATTCAACCAAATCCAATCAGAGATAGGACGTAACTATTAACTGCAACAGAAAAAAAAACATTTTACTCAATCGACAGTGTGAGGAAACTTTAGTATCAATTGAGCAGACAGTGTGAGGAAACTTTAGTATCATTTGACCAATGATGCATTTGACCAATGATGCAGTGTGAGGAATGAGTTGCAAATATAAAATCTTTTAGCAGATTCAAACAAAACTCAGTCAAAAACAGGACTTAAATATTCACTGCAACAGAATAAAAAAAAACATTTTACTTAATCGACAGAAAGTGAGGAAACTTTAGTATCAATTGATCAATGATGCAAATGAGTTGCAGATCCAGTACCCTTTGGCAGACTCAGCCGAAAACCAATCAGAGACAGGACGTAACTATTAACTGCATTTTACTTGATCGACAAAACTTGAGGAAACTTTAATATCAGTTGATCAAGGATGCAAATGAGTTGCAGATCCAAAACCTTTAGCAGATCTAATCAAAATCCAATCAAAAACAGGACTTAACTATTCACTGCTACAGTATAAAAAAAAACATTTTACTTAATCGACAGAATGTGAGGAAACTTTAGTATCAATTGAGCAATGGTGCACATGAGTTGCATATCCAAATCCTTCAGCAGATTTAACAGAATTCCAATCAAAAACAGGACTTAACTATTCACTGCAACAGAAAAAAAATGATTTCACTAAACCGACATAATGTGAGAAAACTGTTGTATCATTTGATCAATGGTGCAAATTAGTTGCATATCCAAAATCCTTTAGCGGATTCAACCAAATCCAATCAGAGATAGGACGTAACTATTAACTGCAACAGAAAAAAAAACATTTTACTCAATCGACAGTGTGAGGAAACTTTAGTATCAATTGAGCAGACAGTGTGAGGAAACTTTAGTATCATTTGACCAATGATGCATTTGACCAATGATGCAGTGTGAGGAATGAGTTGCAAATCTAAAA